CAGCCTCTTACCAGCTGCTGAATGCCCACCATGTTCCAAGGACTTAAGAAGCACTATCTTTGCCTCACATCAACCTGCAAGGGAAGCTTCACCCCCAGTTCTGCCTCTTTGCTGTGTGACCAAAACAGGTTTGGAATCAAATCTGACTTCAAGGTTATGTATTACATAGGTTATGTTTTATGTATTTTAGGTAGCTTTCCTACCCAAAATAGGGTTGCTGAATTAAATGAGAATGTACGTATAACTCAAAGCACATAGTAGGCACTTTGCAAATGTTATTCCCCTTACACCCTCGGAAACTATACTGTACTGTATATGCCTGGCCTTGCGGTCGGCACAGAGCACGGAGATGATTCAGACCGAGTCCCTTCCCTACCACTTGGGGCTGAGACTTCTCTCTTCCACACTCAGGCTGAGTCATTCCTCAAGGTAAGGGAACAAAAGGTCTGGGGCAAAGTCAAAAGGCTGGCAAAATCATCAGGCCTGCCGTTTGCTACGGACACAACTGAGGTAAGGCAAGATGGCTATCCACCTCGGGGTGCCCTCCTCAGTGGCCTGTCTTCCTCCCTTCTTCTCCATCACCCTCATTCTCAGCATTCAATGGTCAAATGATGCCAGTGCTGGGGATAATGAATGGAGATCAAAGGTAGAATAAAGGTAATTTATCTTCTTCCTGTTTACACACTGCACTGTTTGCTAAACACTTTTGAGGATTCACTAGCTCGTCTGATCCACACAACCCCTGGTGAGGTGGGCTTGCACGAAGTGGTCCATCAGGTTACAGGCAAGCTCTAGGATAAGGACTCTGGACTCCTGACTCCTCTTAGTTCAGTCCTCTCTCCATTCTATTCCAATGCCTCTCTTGGTAACGTACCCTTTAGGTAATACTATTAACCAACCTTTAATAGACTGTATTGAAAGTTAATTCCTCATGGCTTGTATTTCAGCTCCAGGTAGTGACTAACAGGCTGTGGTACCAATTAATCAAATTTTCTGTGAGGATGGGTATTTAAATGATTTTGGTTGCACACTATATACATCCAACTCACACTACCTTAAGAAATAAATAAGATAAAGTTTGGGGGGGGTCATTGGTTGCTACAACAGAGGACTCTACTGGATGTCATCAGGAGGCCTGCTGCCTTTCAACACTTTGTTTCTGCCTGGCTCCATTCTTCCAGGTTTCTGCTGCATACAGGCATTCTCCACCAGCCACAGATGTTTGTCTGTGTTCCAGGCCTCCAACCTCCCAATATAATGCTCCTACTGGAAAAAGAGCTTGTCTGAAATGGTACTTTTTTTTCCTTTGGATCTGCTATTACTAAATTCCTAGGAAGGTAGGGGGGAAAAGTCTAGTAAAGTTACTGTAAGCCTAGAGAAGCCTCAAAGTTAGAACTCCGAAAAGGTAAAAGTAATAAAGTTAAATCCACGACACCAGCTCTTTTGTACTCATTTTGGTACAGGGATATGTCTTAAAATCACTGGATTTATTCATGTTTTATCTACTATTTATGGTGATTGAAATGTTCAAAAAGATTGGCTATACTAAATTTGTAATTGGTATTTATATTTATGGCAGTTTAATTCATCAAATTTGTTATTGTTCAAATATTCAAGGTTTTCAAAGTTTTATTGAATGAGTTTAATAAATTGAGCCTTAAAGTTTATGTAATAGTGCATATTCCTCTCAAGCCCAAAGTCCCCTTCAACATTAAGCAATCTAATAAAACATGCAAAAAATAAAATAGATCATTGGGTTTCCTTTTTTAATGATCATGTAATTATTGAAAAATTATTATTATTTTTTAAAAAGATGACCGGTAAGGGGATCTTAACCCTTAACTTGGTGTTGTCAGCACCACGCTCACCCAGTGAGCTAACCGGCCATCCCTATATGGGATCCGAACCCGTGGCCTTGGTGTTATCAGCACCACACTCTCCCGAGTGAGCCACAGGCCGGCCGAAAAATTATTTTAAAGAGGCCCGAACCCGTGGCCTTGGTGTTATCAGCACCACACTCTCCCGAGTGAGCCACGGGCCGGCCGAAAAATTATTTTAAAGAGGCAAATTAGCACCACTTCATTTATTCTTTCATTATTACATGACTCTGTGTTATAATAAAAGATATGTCTATTTGAAATGTTTTCAATAGTGAATTTGTTTTTAAAAAGCAGACTGATCTACTGACAAAACCTAAGGAGTTATTTGGAGCATTTGCCCAAATTCAGAAGTACCTTGGGCCGAGCCCATGGCACACTCGAGAGAGTGCGACGCTGGGAGCGCAGCAGCACTCCCGCTGCAGGTTCGGATCCTATATAGGGATGACCGGTGCGCTCACAGCGCTCAGGCGGTGCAGCCGGTCTCAAAAAGGACAAAAAAAAAAAAAAAAAAAAGAAGTGCCTTAAGCATCCCCATGGAACAAACAAAATCAAGTACAAATCAGGAGTTAAGCTAGCACCCCATTTCATTTAGGTTAAGTTTTTGTGGCCTCTTCAGCTATGACTTGAGAATACCTTCAAGGTATTTTGAACAAAGAGTAAGACATATACAGACAAGCACTGAAGCTGATGTCAGTGGTGATTCTGTGCACCCTGGCTCCTCCACCTAAAAGCTAGTGTGTAGGGGCCGGACCATGGCTCACTTGGGAGAGTGTGGTACTGATAACACCAAGTCCACAGGTTCAGATCCCTATATAGGGATGGCCAGTTAGCTCACTTGGGAGAGCGTGGTGCTGACAACACCAAGTCAAGGGTTAAGATGCCCTTACTGGTCATCTTTAAAAAAAAAGCTAGTGTGTAATATCATGCTATCAAACCAGTCACAATAATCCCTGCCCTGAGTCCCTTAATAAGTAACTATGTTCCAATGACAATGTGTAAAAGTTCAAAGTATTATTATCAATAAAGTTTTCTGAAAGTAATTGTTCTTATGGAAAGTTAGAAATTGCCTCAAATTCATTTTTTTGAAAAAAATTGGGTACAAACTAAATATCAGGGTAATAATCTCCTGGTTTCCTTAACAACAAAAAAAACAGTGACCAGAATTAAGCCCTTTATTCATCTTTCTTGTTTCAAAGAGTGACAGTAGTTTTTATGGTACACAAAGTATTTCTGGCACTTAGCATCACAGAGCCAAGACACACTCTGAACACACTGAGCCTCAGCACCTCCGTGGACTCCTGGAAGAATGGCAGTTATAGAAAGTCCAATCAGGGACAGAGGGGAAATGCCAGTAAAATGAGAACCTTAAATCAAGGTTTGCCTGGGCATGGACTGTGATCCTTGGGACATCCAGGCAGGAGCAAGTCAAGCCAGAGAAAAGCCCATTCCCAGAAGCAGGCCAGCACAGAGAACACTCATTTCAGGTGAATGTTCACCAGGGTTCAAAAGCTATGCAATCCACAGAGGGATGCAGCATCCTCCTCCCTGCGGTGGAACTCCCCCTGACCTACTCAATTAGCTCCAGAAGGCCAAGGGCCTTTTTAAATTATTATTATTTTAAATCCTATATAAAGATGACCCTTGGCTTGGTGTTGTCGGCACCACGCTCTCCCAAGTGAGCTAATCAGCCATCCCCATATAGGGATCCGAACCCGTGGCCTTAGTGTTATCAGCACCGCACTCTCCCGAGTGAACCACAGGCCGGCCCTCCAAGGGCCTTTGACTCACTCATTTAGTCGGCATATATTTACTGCTGTCTACTCACTCTGCTGGGCGCAGAGGAAAAAGAGAGGAATCAGACATAGTCCCTACATAATATCCAGAATAGAAAAAGCACATATTTATAGACAAGTCATTGTGATTAAAAGTAAAAAGGGCCGGCCCGGTGGCGCGCTGCTATAGCGCGCCGCTTGGGAGTGCGGCGGCGCTCCCGCCGAGGGTTCGGATCCCACATACAGACCGGTTCCCGCTCACTGGCTGAGCGAGGTGCGGGCGCAACACCGAGGGTTGCGATCCATTGCCGGACACGAAAAAAAAAAAAGACAAAAAGGAAAAAAAAAAAAAGTGAAAAGGATACAGACAGGATACAGTCTGGCCCTCAAGAAGTTCACAGCCTAGCAGAGGCCTAGAGGGCATAGCACAGATAATACATAGCAGACTGTGGTTAGCACAAAAGGGAGGCTCAGACTGTGAAGTCTGGCAGCCCAGAGAAGGATGACACAACATCTATTTGAATAATGCAATGGGGAAAACTTATGGCCTAGTGGAGAAGAGTGGGCAGCCTAATCTGGCCCAAGTGGAGATATCAAATCCTCGTTGACCTCTCTAGGTCCTTTGGGTTACCCAACAGGCAGAGTGAAAAGTCTTCTCCCTATAGCTGCAGCAACATGATATCCTGTGGATATCTGAAGGGAGACAGTGACCAGGAGAAACAGATCCAAATAAGGCATCCTAAAAATAAGGGCCTGAGGTAAACATTAGGAACTCGGGAGTTGAGGAGCATACACTGGGCCAGCAGGTTGAACGGGTAGGAGGCTGATCTGGGTACATGCCAGCAACAGGAGGCATGTACCCATGTTTTCTTGCACTCCCAGTGGGGGACCATGTGTGCTGGATGGATCCTTTCTAAGGGTCCAAGGGACAGGGTGGGGGTGCCTAAGGGCAAAGGACTATGTAGTCCTGCGTAGTCCTCTCTTCACGCCTATAGATTATAGGCCTCCCATCTGCTTTCCTCTCTTCCCCACAGCTGCTACTACCTGCCCTATCTTCTCCATTCTACCAACCTGAAGACGGCTGAAATAGGCTCAGTTAGGGTCTCAGGATCACAGGACAGGTCCCAGGGCCACGAAGGCTTTGGATAATTGGCACAAACTGAGTTGGAGTGCCTATAGCACTCTTGAGCAGCTGTGTGTAATGCCAGGGACTTTCTATTGCCATTTCTTGGTTCAAAATCATTTGTGGCTCCCCAGTGCCTACTACAGGATGTTTTGCATTTAGCCTGACAAGCAGGTCCTTCCAGCTGTTGATGAAATAATGCATAAATACTTCCCTCTGCTTCCATATATGAAGCCTACTGTCAGGGAAGACCTCTGTCAAGTTAGCAAGTAGAGGGTGGTGGGGGTCTAGGGGTGGAGAGGCTTGTTAGTACAAGGAGGAATTGGGGGAAGGGGAGAGGACCAAAAGGGCAGCCCCCTCCTGAGTAGTAGAAACTCCTTCTTCAGCAAAGCTTTCCTGTGCACTATACCCCAAATAGATAGGAACAGGGAGGGTGGATAAATGCTACAGCCAGGGCTAAAGGATAAAGAGAATGAGAATACCAAGACTTCTTTAGGACTATCCAAGAAGGGAGTCAAGGAAGGGACCTCAGTTACATACCAGTGTGGACCAGAGATGTCTAGCAGCACCACTCATAAGATATCCATCTCTAAATTGCCCACTCCTCACTCCTTCCTCCTTCCTGCCTCATGTTTGTTCCTCCCAAGTCCTTTTCCCATCAAACACCATCCTACTAAGTGACCTTCAGGCTCATCTTTCATCAGGGTAATGCCATCAGAAGCAATAAGCATGATTATCAAGGACCACTGGCACTGATCTTCTCATTTTTCTCCCTGAGAAATGATGCTATCTGGATGAAGAAGGGAAGGTTGAGCAGCACTGCAAAGCTGGAGAAGGCAGGTGACCTCATGATTCTTCCGTTTTGCTCAATTCCTCTAGGATAGACAGCCTGAAAAGCTCTGAGCATGATTGGAAGGGTGTTGGTGTTTCTCTTATTAAAAATGGAACAAACCATCCAGATCTTCCTTCCTGCCATGACACCTGCTTGTAACCTCACACTTGGATGAGAGGCAAGTCATTTGAAAAGATACAGCCTCTGATTTCCATTTTGAGATCAAAGTTCCTTAGGCAGCCAGGACTTGCTGATCATGGAGCAGACACTCTGCCTCTCCTAGGGATGGGAAGATAAGAAATCACAGAACCAATCCTCTCATTTTACAGATGGAGACCTGAGGCCCAGAGTTCAGACGACACTTCCAAGGTCCTAAAGCAAGCCAGTGGCAGAGCCAGGACCACACCATGGTCTCCCAACTCCCAGTTCAGTGCTCTTCCCACTGCAGTAGCTATGACAAAATTTTCATTTTGACCTTGGTGGGGGAGAAGTAAAAAAATGTAGAGAGCAGAATATTAAGTTTTTGGATTCTCTGCAGACCTCTGTTATCCTGGCTATGGTTGCCATTACCTCCTAGGGAAAGTTGGATCCTAAGCCAATTAGTTTGTCTTGAATTAGCTTAGATTCCTACCAGGGCTGGTGAAGTCTCCCTGTATGTGGCTCAAGATGTCTTGGTCTGTAAACAGGCGGAAGGCAATCTGTTCACACTCCCGCTTGATACCACACTCAAACAAACACCCAAACAAGCCCTCCTCCTCCAGAGCAGCCAGATCAGAGTAGCCACAGGGTCCACAGTGCAAGATCCAAGGGGGGGACCAGCAGGCAGCCTCCAAGGGGGTTTGGTTGAGGTAGATGCCTAGGTCAATCCTCCGTTTTCTACTGGTTGGGTGTGAGTACAAGAGCCATGATTCTGATAATGCTCCACTTTCCTCCTCCAGCCTCAGCGGACTGTCCAGCAGAGAGCTCTGCTGAATGGTGGGAACATCTTTGTCACTAGGGTCTTGGCACCTACGTGAGATCTCCAGGGGCCGGAAACTCACCACACTGCCTTGGCAGCCATGTGGGGGCTCACAGAGCTGTCGGCTCAGGGCCAGTCTCTGAAAGCATTCACCATGATCAATGCTGAGAGCCTCTGCCCGGCACCTGTTTGGTGTCCGGGCACTGCAATATAGCACAGGGTGGCCAGCCCTCCCAGTCACCTCTGCCACTTCACACTCCACTGTCACCATGGGCCTAATGAGCCTGCCATGGTGCCATGTGGTCCCTAAGTCATCACTGTAGATCATCAGGGAATGAGGCCTGGCTTTACATGGTAACCGGAAACAAAAGAACCAGTAAGGGATGTAGTAGACATATGCAGGGACAACCAGCCTCCCCGATTGTAGCTGGATGCCATGACCTGGGCCCACAGCAAATGTGGCCCAATGCTTCACCTCTGGGCCAATGACCTCCTCAGTTAAGTCCCTGACCTCACTCCACGAACATCCAGCATCCTGACTGTAGATGAAGCAGAGGCGGGCAGCATTTCTGCCTGACACAATTTGTTGATGCTCGGTGACATGGCCCCGCACACAGATGAAGAACAGGTATACACGACCATTCTTCTGCTCCCACACAGGACAGGGGTTCATGGTCCGATGACCAGGTAATGTGGCTTCCATCAGTGGCTTCATGGGTTCCCACTAAACAAGGGGAAGGAGAAGAGACAGTAGGAGTGACATGAGGCTCATTAAAAGCATTAGTACTTTCCATAAATGAGAAATAAATAATGTTGAAATCTTTTCCTGAAGGATCAAGTATTCACTAAATTCTCAAATATTATAGGGTGACTTATAAAGCTGGAAAAAGATAATGCTAGGTATTGTACATGTCTCCTCTGTCTGGAATGCTTTTCTTCACTTTATCTGGACTTCAAATCATCCTCCAATATCTAACTCAAAAGTCACCTTTGTGAAGCATTCTGTGAAACTCCCTCTCCTCCCCTAATAAGTTATATCACTTACTATATAACATTGCAATTTTTTTTTTGTAACTGTCTCCCTTCCTAAGTATGAGCCTTTCAAGGGTAGAAACCAAATTACACTACTTTTGTATCTCCAGTGCCTAGCAAATAATGAGTGCTAAATAAACATTTTTACAAAGGAAGAAACACACACACACAAAGAAGAAGAAAAAAAAAGAAAGGGAAAAAAGAAAGAAAAGAAAAGGAAGAAACAAGAAGGAAGAAGAAAAGAAAAGGAAAAGGAAAGCCAGGCAGGCAAATAAAGAGATATTTAAGGCAAAGATGTTTTTCTTCCTGTACTACCCTGGGGAGGCAATTCATAACAGTGTCCTTAAAAATTCAAGCTTGGAGTCAGAGACACCTAGTTCAAATCTTGCCTTTATCACTTATTGTGTAACCTTGAGCAAGTTGTTTAATCTTCCTTTACTTCAATTTTTCACCAGTTAAATGAAGAATTTAATAACATCCTCATAGAGCATTTGTTGTAAGGGTACAACAAGATAATGCCTAATCAGACAAAGAAAGGCCTAATCTCCTTAACATATTTTAAAAACAATATTAAAAATTGGTAAGAGTAGGCCAGCCCGTGGCTCACTCGGTAGAGTGCGGTGCTGATAACACCAAGGCCACGGGTTCGGATCCTATATAGGGATGGCCGGTTTGCTCACTGGCTGAGCGTGGTGCTGACAACACCAGGCCAAGGGGCGCCATAAATTAGATAGTGGGCAGGGAAGTTCTCATGAGAAGGTCATATCTGAGTGAAGAAGAATTGGAGCAAGGGAGGAAATAGGGGAAGAGCATCGCAGGTGGAGGGAGGGCACGGGCATAAACACTTAGGTGGGAGGTTGGCATCACCGCCCAGGGCCCTGAACTGGAGAGATCAAGAGGCAGAATACTGGGAGATAAACTCAGAAAAATGAGGCCATTGAGAAAAGCACATTGAGCGGAGCCTTGTAGGGCTTCATAAAAGCTTTACTTGCACTTTGAGCAAGGCAAGGAGCCATTAGAGGAGGTTGACAAAGGAATGCACGATGTGGTTCTGCATGTTGACAGGCACTGTTGAAATGTTGACTGTTTTCCTGATGAGAAAGAATTAGAAATATTTATTACAACTCTAAGGTACTTAGAATTACTATAAAGAAGTATGCTCTTATGATCTAAATTATGTGAAAAAAAAAAAAAAAAAAAAAAAAAAAAAAAAAAAAAAAAAATTGGTAAGAAAATTTCTAGAAGCCAAATAAAAATGGGAAAAGGGCAAAATCAGACAACTGCCAGAAAGAGAAAAAAAAAACGAAAAACAAATGAAGATATGTCCAACCTCACACATAAAAAATAAATGCAAATTAAACTGACCGCATTTTTCATCTAACAAATTGGCAAAATCATAAAATTTGATAATACCTGTTGGCAAAAATACAAAGAAACAAGCACTCTTATAAAATTAAGGACGGGCTGCAAACGGTTCAACCCTTAAGTAGGACATATCAAAATTACAAATACATTTATCCTTTCCCAGTATGCCCAACTTGGGGAATTTATCCTAAGATATATCACTCAACAAATTAAGTATGTATAAGATTATTCACTGTAGTATTGCTTGAAACAGCAAAATATTGTAAACAACCCAAATATTCATCAATAGGGGACTGGTTAAATGAACACATAATTCATGGGGCGAAGAAAAAGAAAAAGAGAAGCCTTTTTTCCATATATATTGAAATGAAAATATTTCTGTAATATATTATTAAAAGGACAAAGCAAAATACAGAACAGTGTATGTATGATGCTATTTTTTGCATGGGAAAGTGGAGGAAATGAACTTCAGGTTATGGCAAACAAAATAGTTGTACCAACCCTTCCACTAAGAACTAGAAAAGATAGACAAAATATCAAAACAAAAACAAATATATCTGTTTGAAAGCACCAGAGAGCCAACAAGTCAATGATGAACTACAGGCCAAGAACTGAGAGTTCATTCAGAGAGGCTGGCTGGAAATTTCAAATCCCTTTTCCCCTCACAGTATCCCTACTAATTCTCAAAGCAGTAACTGAAAGGCTGAGAAGCTGAGCAACTCATTTGATAGCCTTACTGGCTTAAGAAGACAAAACTGGAGGCCCTGGTAAACCCCACATAATTTGAGATGGAACCTTAAAGGACTAAATCCTAGGAGTATGGATGGAACTGAAGCAGACAGTTCCCAACAAACACCACTTTAGAAAAGTGGCTGCCATTATCTACATACACATACAAGGGTACTTCAAAAAGTTCATAGACGGTTCCCGCTCACTGGCTGAGCGAGGCGCGGGAGCAACACCGAGGGTTGCGATCCCGTTGCCGGTCCCGGTCCGGTACGGGGGCGACACTGAGGGTTGCGATCCGTTGCCGGACACGGAAAAAGACAAAAAAAAAAAAAGGAATATTCATAGCAGTATTATCTATCAGCACAATGCTCTAAACAACTGAGCTAACCAGCCAGCCTAAATATCAGCATTATCTATACTCATACTAGCTTACCCAAATATCTAACAACAGTAGAATGGATCACTTAATTGTGGTATATTTATATAATGGAATGCTACAAGGGTACTTCAAAAAGTTTGTGGAAAAATAGAATTAAAAGATAATATGAATTTTCTATGAACTTTTTGAAGCACCCTCATATGTAACAGTAAAAACCAAACAAATTACAGCTACACACAATAATTTGGATAAATCTCAAATATAATATTGAACAAAAGAAGCCAGACATAAAGAATACGTAGATTAAAAATAAGAAAAACTAAACTCTAGAGCTATAAATCAGTACACTAATCATCTCTCAGAAGAAGAAAGGGACCATAAGAGAAGCTTCTCAGATGCTGGCAATATATTATAGAATTATCATATGATCCAGTAGTACCACTTCTGGGTATATAACCAAAAGAATTAAAATCAAGGTCTCAAAGAAATATCTTCACACCCTTATCCATAGCAATGTTATTCAGAATAGCTAATAGGTGGAAGCAACCCAAGTGTCCATCAAGGGATGAATGATTTAAAAAATGGGTATAAACAAGGTGCCTTCTAAAAGTTCATGAAAAGATTTGTATTATCTTTTAATTCTATTTTTCCATGAGCTTTTTGAAGTATCCTTGTATATATACAACGGTGTATTATTCAGCCTTAAACAGGAAGGAAATTCTGATACATGCTACATGATGGATGAAGCTTGAGGACATTACACTAAGTGAAATAAGCCATCACACAAAAATAAACATTATATGATTCCACTTATATGAGATATCTAGAATAGTCAAATTTATAGAAACATAAAGTAGAATAGTGGTTGCCAGGGACTGGGGAGAAAGAGAAATGGGAGTTGTTTTTATGGGTACAGAGTTTCAGTTTTGAAAGATGAAAAAGTTCTGGATATTGGTGGCACAAGAATTTGAATATGCTTAACACTACTGAACTGTACACTTAAAAATGGTTAAGATGGTAAATTTTATGTCAGATGTATTTTACCACAATTTAAAAAATTTAAAAGAACAACAACAAATGTGACAAAGACTTGGAAGTTTCAGCTGACCATCTACTCAGTATTAGTCAACTGTGTCATACATCTGCCAAAAAAGTAAGTGCTATTTTACCTTAGGCTTTTAAAGGATACAAGATGAGATAACCCACAGCTAGTCAGTATACCCTTAAAGCCCTAAGTTCAATTCTGAGTATCACACTTTGAAAAAGGACACTGATATCCCAGACCAGATCCCAAGGACAGTAATCACAATTTTCAAGGGACCAAAAACCAAATCAGGACTGTGGCCTAAGGATCCATTATAAGAAATGAAGCCGTTTAGCCCAGAAAATAGAAAACTCAGAGGATACGAACACTACTTCCAGGTACTTTCAAGAGTAGTTCTCTGAAAAAGGGACTTTATCTATATTATGTACATACTGACTGCCCCAAAAGGCAGAACAAGACCAATGGGTAATTGCAGAGAAGCAGAGATCATATCATTAAAAAAAAAAAAAAAAAGCTTAATAGTCACCACAGGATTAAGTTCCTCATTTGAAGAGTTGTGCAAGTAGACCCTTTATGGAAAATGACTAATGTTGAGTCCTTACTATGTAATTTCTATTATTAATTACCTGTTGCAGATGACGAAACAAAGAGTCAAGTATCCAAGGTCACACAACCAATAAATGATAGGTCTTGACTGACTCCAAAGCCAGCTCTTAACCACTAAGCTATGAGTAGCTACCAATGGAATACAGAAGATTTTTATATTGGGAAAGAAGTGGGCTGATGATTCTTCTAACTTCAGGGTTTTACAATTAAGTAAATCAGAGATAAAAGTAGATAAAATAATGAGAAGAGAGAATGCATTAAGATGGACGTTTGTGAATATGTGTGACTTCTACATAATGAGATTATGCAACAGGTGTGGCATATGCTTAACAGCCAACTGTCTGAGATAGAAAGCAAAGCCACACAACCACAGGCAATGCCTGTCCTAGAGGAGATGAAAGAGCTAGAACTCCAAGCTCTGCTGAGCTGCAGTACTGGGCCTTCTATGGAGGCCAGTTATACAAGCAGAAGTCTGGTCCTGGAAAGTCTTGATGAAGACTCATGACAAGATGAAAAAGCAGGGATTGGAAATTCCCTAATGTAAAAAATTTCCCCAGGGAAATGCGAGCCAATGTCATCAAAAATATGGACAGGGATTGCTGGCAAGGCCCACGTTCAGCGGAATAGCATTTGTCCTGTAACAGCTGCACGAGTTATCTGTTATGGATATGAAGTTTTAATGGTGAGATTTCAGATATGTGTAGGTAGAAAAACAGGGCAGGTTAGGGGGATTAAAGTACTACTACACAGATAGATTTAGAGAGACATAGCTATATATTTTTTTTATAAAAAAATTTTCAAAACCATTGTCTCATTTGATCTTCACTTCAGCCAGCTCCAGGAGAAAAGAAGAAAACAGTAAGAAATATGGGGTCTGAAATAACCCTGTAGCTCCCAGGCCCAGGAGCAGCAACAACCAAAAGTACAATAAAATGTGCTACTTGAGGGAAAGGGTTCCAACTGCAGTTCTACCACTTATTAGATGTGTGCCCAAAACAAGTCACTTTAATTCTCAGACCCAGTCTCCTCCTATAAAATGGGGATAATACTATGTACCTCACACAAAGCATTTAGCAGTGGTAGTAATATAGTTGTTAGTTATCGCCCTCTGTCATCTACTAAATGCGGTCCTGAACAAGTTATTTACCTCTTGGAGCACCAGGACCCCTCATAAGCAAAACAGTCCAGCAATGCTTACTTCCCCAGCTGCTTTAAGAGGATTAAAAGGAATATAAATAAAAAGCACACCACATGTTAGCTGAATCTGAATGAACCATGGAGACTCAGGAGTCAGAAACTGAGTTTGAAGCCTGCTTCTACTGCTGCATAGCTGCACGACCTGGAGCAAACAGCAACCTCGCTGAGCCTCAGTTTTCACATCTGTAAAATGTGACTGACAACAGTACCTATGACACAGAGTAGCTATGAGGATTCAAGATGCCCCTGGCACACAATAAGCACTCAGTGAGCCACTGTTCTTACTGTTTTTTCCTCCTCAGCAGGCTTTTCTTGCACTGATAGGAAAAGGCACAGACCCTGAACTGCTCTGAGCTCTATGGAGAGAAACTGAGGCCAAGGCCCAGACCCAGATCTGGGATGAGGAGTCACCTGTACCAAGTGCCCAGTCCTCAACCCGCGCCTCAGCACCAGGTGGAGAGCATCCTCATCCCTTCTTGAAGAACGCTTCTCTGCAAAGGCCAGGAAGGTGTGGGTGGGGGGCACGTAGAGCAGGGCTGGGATCCGGTAGGTAAACCCTCTCTTGTCTTCCTGCTGGAACAGAGGGCTGTTGAAGGCACATGATGTCACCTCTTCCATGACCTCTGCAAGGATAGGAGGCAGCTCAATGTGTGTCCACACCCAGATGTTGATCTGCATACAAGTTCTGCTCTATCATTCCATTTCCGGAGAGTAAGGGGAGGTGCACATGTACTCAAATGTTTATTTTTTTATACAAAGGTAACATCATGGTCTCAACAACACAAAGCAAGCAATATGCATTCTCGTTTAACAAATCTATTTTCCAGACTGTGAGAATCCTATGCAGCCTGTGTCAAGTGTGTATCTCTCCAGAGAAGCTCTGCATTTGCTTCTGCCAAGCATGCAGGGGTATTACCAGCCCGGGATGGTTTTTAATGTCATTTTCTTGGCTTGGGGTTTCTAGGCCATTTGGGTAATACAAACATAAACCCGAATCCATATGAGTGAATGCCTGCGGTTAAGAATACTCCGGAGACACTTTTTCCTTGTACCAGAGCCTAGAATAAAAGGCAATCTTCTTTGTCTTCTCTTTCAGTAGGGAGGATTTTTTTTCCCCTAGTCTACTCTATCAGAGGGTGTGGACCCTACAAGGGGTATAGATTTTCAAGGGACTTATCTTCATGTGGGGATCTTGGTTCCAACTAAAGTCTAACCCACGCGGACCTGCAGCTTCGTCTGCTGTAACAGCAGGCCTATTAGAGCCAAAGTTTCTGGGTATGTGAGACCAGCAAACATCCAGGGAAGCTGAGGACAAATTAAGGGACTAACTACTCTGGTTTTCAGTTCACTCTTGGTTTCTAGGCCCCTGGAGATTTCTCTTACTTTCTTGTAAATTCAGCTATAAAGGACTTTGTTATACTTGATCCACCATTTTACAGGTTAGCTAGTCTGCCATAATGTTGACAGTGGAAGTCTCCAGGTACTCTTCTCAAAGAAACCAGGTATTCCATTTCTCAGAGACCCAAAAAGGAAATCGAGCCAGACAAAACCAGACTTAGAATTACTTTTATGTTAAATTCTGCAAACCATTTAACAAATGGTTTATAAGCACTATCTTACAAATCATTTGTAAAAATTATCAGGCTGTAAGAACTAGGCCTGTAAGGCCTTCTTCATTTATACAATAAATATTTCTGGGTGCCTACTCCGTGTCAGGCCACTAGGTAGGTGCTGAGCAGACAGAGAAGAATCAGAGATCCCTGCTCTCAAGAAACCCACATCCAAGTGAGGGAAACAGATGTACATATGGATAATTACAATATGATGTAATTAATAAGTGCTACCTTAGAAGTAAATACAAAAGTTAGTAGGAAAACAGAAAAGGGACATCTATCCAGATCAAGGAATCAGAGAAGGATTTTTTTTGTCCTTTTTGAGACCGGCCGCACCACGCTCACTGGCTGAGTGCACTGGCCATCCCTATATAGGATCCGAACCCGCGGCGGGAGCGCTGCTGCACTCCCAGCACTGCACTCTCCCAAGTGCACCACGGGCTTGGCCTCAGAGAAGGATTTTTGGAGAGGATAATAAACTGAGCCAAATGAGCTCTTTTTTTTTTTGAGGGGTCTTTCAAAAAAAAAAAAAGTTCATGGAAAGACTGTATTGTTATTTTTTTTTCTAATGGTGGCTAGCCAGCAGGGGGATCAAGTATTATCTTTTAATTCCATTTATTCCACGAACTTTTTTTTTTCTTTTTTGGTGGTTGGCCAGTATGGAGATCGAACACTTGACTTTGGTGTTATAATACTGCACTCTAACCAACTCAGCTAACCTGCCAGCCCCTCCACAAACTTTTTGAAGTACCCTTATATAGTCATATGCTCTGCCTGGAATACTCTTCTTTCAGAGAGCCACATAGCTCACTCCCTCGCCTTCCTCAGCTCTGTTAAAACATCATCGAATCAGTAAGGCCTTCCCAGACAACCCCCTTGTCCCTCCCTGCCCCCTTTCCCTGATCTATTCTCCATACCACTTATCACCCTCAGATGTCTCATATATTACACTTGTTTAGTACATACTACAAAATAGAAGCTCCATAAAGAGCAAGGATATGTCTGTTTTGTTCACGGCTACACCTCCATACATGATAGGCACTCAACAAATGTTTGTTGAATGAATGAATGACTGAACTGGATCTTAAAGAATAGAAGAGAGAAGAGCTATGGCTCACTATCACGAGGGTAACAAGGGAGGTAGCCTGGCTGAGTGCAGAAGAAAAGCCTCCCCTCACTCCAATCCTTGGCTCTCAAAAGGAGAATCAAAAGATAGGCAAGGGTAGACTGTCTTCCTCGCACAACACAAGAGCACACCTCTCTCCCCCCCATCTGGTCCCTCTTGCCAGGGAGGGTCAGGCTTTCTTGTAAGCAAATATCTGTCCCTGGGCCAGGCTGGTGTAATGGTTAAGAACCTAGGATTTGGGCCAGGCCAGAACTACATGACCTTGGGCATGTTATTTAACTTCTCTATGGGGCCCGCCCTGTGGCTCACTAGGGAGAGTGCGGTGCTGATAACAACAAAGCCACAGGTTCGAATCATATATAGGTATGGCTGGTACAGTCACTGGCTGAGTGTGGTGCAGACAACACCAAACCAAAGGTTAAGATCCCCTTACCGGTCATCTTTAAAAAAAAAAAAAAAAACTTCTCTATGCTTCAAGATCCTCACCTATAAAATTCAGTAGAGTTGTTGAAAGAATTAAATCAAAAAGCTTAAGTAAAGTGGCTGTTACAAGGCCTATGACATAGTAGAAGCACAATATATGATAGTTATTATTTTTAGACTACCAATCACTGCACATTCAAGCTCTATTCCTTAAATCCTATGGATGATGATGATAATAACAACAACAACTACACCCCTTCTTGCAAGCATTTAAATCCCTCTTCACCTCTGGAAGAGATAATACTTTAAACTCTTACAAGTTAACAGTTTAATTATGAGTCATATCAACACTATTAATCATCAGCCAACACTGACTATTAGTTAACATCTAAACAGGAATTCTTCTGGGTGATAATTAGAATGGAACACAGGATAGGCATAGAAGGGAGATGGAAGGACTAAGAAGAAGCAAAGGGAGAGAAAGTGGGGAGATCAGCAAAAGAGAAACATAACTCATCATATAGACTGTATTCATGTCCCAGCTCCACTTCTTGCTGTGTGACCTTGTGCTGGTTACTCTAGGTCTTGGATTCCTTGCTCGGAAAATACAGATAATAAAACCTACCTAAGAGGATCAATATGAAGAACTTCTCAAAAGTGCTTTATAAACTTTAAAAAACTATAAAAACAGAAGTCTTTGGCCCGCCCTGTGGCTCACTAGGGAGAGTGCGGTGCTGATAACAACAAAGCCACAGGTTCGAATCATATATAGGTATGGCTGGTACACTCACTGGCTGAGTGTGGTGCAAAAGAGTTATTAATTTTTATTAAGTATGATTATGCTGATCATGTTGCTGACAGTGGTAATATAGAAAGCAGCTTTGGCACTGACACCCAAACTATTTCACACAAACCACACGCTGGGAATTAGGGATACAGAAAAATCAGATATAGATCTGCTTTGGAGTTGTTCATTTTATTTTTTTTAATTTTATTTATTTATTTATTTATTTTTGTCTTTTTTTGAGACCGGCCGCACCGCGCTCAGCCAGTGAGCGCTGTGAGCGCACCGGTCATCCCTATATAGGATCCGACCCCGCGGCGGGAGCGCTCCTGCGCTCCCAGCGCCACACTCTCCCGAGTACGCCACGGGCTCAGCCCTGGAGTTGTTCATTTTAGCAGAGAATTGAAAGGATTAATTACTGCTCCATATAATCACCTTGCAATCAAGTTCTCCCTGCTCTCTTACTAGGAGAGAGTACAATACTGCAGCTTGGACCCTGAGGTCTGACTTGGCTTTGATACCTATTAGCAAGTCACTTTACCTCTGGGACTCAGTTTCTGCACTTGTAAAATGGGGATAATGCCACCTATTTCACAGGCTATAATAATAATGTAATTCTTCAGCCTCCAATTAATCCAATGAGCCTCCAGTGAAACCCAGGAGGCCTCCCTATCTCATGTACTACTATTTAAAGAACACCTATCATGTGTCAGACCTTTCAAGATCCTATATTCTAAACCTCTCTAATGGTAAATATGGGAAAACTCAGGCCCATAGAGGGGGGAAAGCTTATATAAGGCCACTCAGTAGCAAAACCTGGATCAAGACCCGGGTCTCCTAAATTCCAGCTCGGGGCTCTTTCTGCCACCCACAGACTACTCTCTAGTAAGAAGTGTCTTCCCAGTCTCGGTATCTTTTCATCTCTACAGTGCTAATTCTAAGACTTAAGTTTGGCTTCAGTGAGAAGACAAAAATAGAACAAGCCAAGAATACTCTCTGGCTGTGTCAGATCCTAGCCGACTGGGTGGCTCTGACTCAATATTCCCTCAACACCCTATTTCCTAACCGCAGATGGTGCTGCTGCACCTGTCCCTACGGTCACAATACCCCGCTTTTCGGGGGTTTCTCTTTTTCCCAACCCCGCTCACCTGCGAGGGACCCCGGCTCCTCGGTCTCTCCCCGAGCAGAGCTGGGCGCGGGGAGTTCTTCCATGGGAGTCAGGCCGTCAGGTCTCGCGCACCGATGCCCTCGAGAGTGACCGGCACCAAGGCTGGGGAAGGGGAGGCTGGAGAGAGAGAGACGAAGACAGACAGGAGAGAGACAGGGAGCAACAGAAAAGAGACTGAGGACACGGAGACAAACCCTGGGAAGCGAAGAGAGAGGAACCGGTTGGAGAAAGAACGCAGAGCAGCGCAGAAAGCCCCAGGACGAAAGCCGAGCCTGGAAGCCGGCGGCAGCGGGGACGCGCCAAAGGAGTCCGGCGCAGGCCGCAGGCCTTTGGGACCAATCGCGGCCGGCCCCGGGAGCCCCGCCTCCTCACGCCCGTCCTGCCCCTCACGGCGCAGCCTCGGACTTCGCTCCTCTCTCCGTCCCTCGGCCGTGGCGTGTCACTTTCTCTGCCTGTCCGGCCGCCGCCCTCCCCAGCCCAGCTCCGACCCTGGGCTTACCGCAGCTGCCGACGGCCTCCCAGCTCCCGGCCTCCCCCCGAGCTTTCCCTTTCCGTCCCCTCCCTCTGTCCAGTACCCTGTCCCCACGCTCTTATCTATTGCTTAGGTATCACCTCCTAAAACTTCCCTGGACAGGCTGAGAGTAGAGCAAAGGTTCCGGGCCTCAGAGGGGACTCTACGAGAAGAACCGGAGGTCCAGAGCGTTGGTCAACCCCCTTGCAAAATATACAAATAAAATGGATATTAATGTATGTAATCTATTATATATGTGCGTATATACATACATTTACAGACATGTATTTATCAGAGAGCACGGAATCCATTCTCCTGCTTCACAGCCATGGAACCTAAGCCCCTTCTCACCCCCCCCCCCCCCCCCCCC